CACATTAATTATATCTCAAATTCAAGTCAATTAAGCTTTCTTTTTTATTTTAACAAAAAAATACTAATAATAATAATAATAATAAAACTATGGTTGAAGTTGCAAATTAGAGAGTGTGTATATATATATATAAAAACTGGGTTTGCGCGCATTCATTATTGAAAAAACAAAGAAAAACTAAAAAGAAAAGCCAGGTTGATTATAATTGGTAATTTTAATATTTTATAAATTAAAGAAAGAAAAAGAGAATCAAAATGATAATGAAAATTTTAAAATTTGAAGAAAATTATGCATTTGGTACACTTTTTTAAATAGCATTACTAAAATCTTATTCTGAATAAGATAAGATATAATTCTGAAAATGTATTTGGTACATTATTGTAAAATATTTTCTAAAAATATTTAGATTATTTTTAACCCCTTAAATTTGTTAATTTAGCTAAACACCCCCCTCCCAATAAAAGTTTATAAATTAACAAAAATATCTTCATCCACCCAATCAACTGCCAGCCACCACCGTCGAATGGCCACTGTCAGTTGTCGGAATGGCACACGACCGATTGGATATGTCTGGTTGTACATCAATCTTGCCTTTTCCGACTAGATCCATGGTGGATTTGGTCGAAAAAAGCAAGATCGACGCACAACCGGCCATATCCAATTGGTTGTGCGTCGTTATGACACCGACAGCCGACGGTGGCTACTTGCAGGTGATGATGGCTTGCGTGATTAAGAGTGTTTTTGTTAATTTTAAAACTTTTATTAAGAAAGAGGTTAATGTTTTAAGTTGAATATAATATGATTGGATTTTGAAAAATATTAAAACAATCACTTTTTTCATTTTTTTATAATAGGATAGTGTTAGAATAGCCAAACAAACGCATAATAGATAAACATAATATTTTTTTAATTTTAAATTAAATTAAATTTTATTTAATTCATGCTTTATCAACCAAAAAAAAATCATAATTGAAATATTAAATAATGATTTTAAGATAAACAATTACAAAAAAATTGATATATGACTTAGATTGATAAGACAAATATATAAATACAAAGATGATGTGTTTTTGCAAACTCCAACTTAAAATTCTTCAAGTATAGAATAAAAATATGCCAAACAATAATGAATATATAACAAAAAAAATAACACATGTTGATCAACATATGACTTAATAACACACACACACATGATATATGTATATATATATATATATATATAGAGAGAGAGAGAGAGAGAGTTTGTAGTGAAACCTGGATGAGCTCCATAAGAAAATGCACATCTTTGGCATAGAGTTCAGCAGACAGGAGTTTAACAGTTTTGTGTAACATCTTAAACACAACTCTGTTATGCTCCTCACGTCCGATCCAGAAGTTATTTCTTCGAATATCCTCAATGTGTTCTTTGGGCGTCGCCATTTCTCAAACAAATTAAGCTTTTGGATTGGTAATATAGAGAGAAATTTAAAAATAAGAGCAGTTGACAATGAGTGAGTGAGAGAGTTTGATTGAATTAAACAAAAAATGTTTGTTGGTGGTGAGTGAAGTAATAGAGGGAGTGTAGAGTACTTATACAAAGGCAAACTTGTTGGAGAAGGATTTAATAGTTAAGTAAACGTCAGTGAGAAAGGAAAAGTCGTTGTACGGAAATGATTCTGAAGCACCAGACTATGCATCTCACTCGTCCAGCTTTTCGGCTTTTGGCTTTCCATTTCCTACTTTTGTGTGGAATTTCCAGCAAGCGCCAATCGATTGCATTATTCTCTTGACAAAGAATTTATCAAGTTATAAAATAAAACTAAATACTTTCAAAAATTTTGTGTACCATGTGATATAGAATCAATCAGTAAGGAAATAAATGCAAAAAAGCCTAAATATATAAATAATAATACTCACCAATGGTAGTCCAAGGATAAGGGTGAATCAAAGGAGTTATAAAAGTGTAAAACTCATAGTCATAGGTTTGATTCTTTATTAGACACACATGTAATACTTTTGTTCATGATTTACTTGAGAATTAATTGTGGAGTGCGACCTTTACCCATGATTTACTTGAGGATTAGTCGAGGAGTGTGTAAATTGGTCTGAACATCTCAATTGTTAAAAAATGGTTTATATATTTTTCCTTGAAATGTCATTTTCTAAATAAATACTAATTAATTTGTTGAAAATATTTATCTTTTAAGACTCTAAAAAAAAATATCTTTTAATCATAATAAATTGTTTTAATTCTCTTTTTTTTTTTTTTTTTTTTCCAAATCAAAGGCAATATCGTTAAACTTAAATCGATGCCACTTTGCCAATTAAAATAAACTAACTTGATTATATATAGTATGTAGAAATCTCAAGAAATTAATGAACTAGTTATTCAAATTAATAACCGAAATAGTTTGATAAATTAGTGTGTGTGAATGGGGACCGCTTAGCCTCAAATTGCGATCCCATTTGTGTGACATGTTGAAGACATATCATGCATATGTTTGGATGAAACGAATACATGTCTAAGGTTAAGAAAGGTATAATCAATGAGGAAACTTAGGAGGAAGGAAACATGTATACATCTCACTTAATGGTTTGCTTTCCATACCATTGTTCTGTTCTGTAACCTGCTCATGCAATATGCTTCATAGATTACTTATACAAAGGCAAACTTGTTGGCGAAGGATTTAATGGTTAAGTAAACGTTAAAAAGTAAACCCAGTGAGAAAGGAAAAGTCGTTGTACGGAAATGATTCTGACGCACCAAACTATACTCGTCCAGCTTTTTGGCTTTTGGCTTTCCATTTCCAAATTCTGTGTGGAATTTCCAGCAAGCGCCAATCGATTGCATTATTCTCTTGACAAAGAATTTATCAAGTTATAAAATAAAACTAAATACTTTCAAAAATTTTGTGTACCATGTGATATAGAATAATTAAGATAATAAATGCGAAAAAGTCTAAACATATAAATAATAATACTCACCTACGGTAGTCCAAAGATAAAAGCGAATCAAAAGAGTTGTAAAAGTGTAAAACTCATAATCTCAAGTTTGATTCTCTGTTTGACATAAATATAGTACTTTTGTTAATGATTTACCTGAGAATTAGTTGAAGAGTACAACCTTTGCCCATGATTTACTTGAGGATTAGTTGAAGAGTACGTAAGTTGGTCCGGACATCTCAGTTATTAAAAAAGGGTTTATATATTTTTCCTTGAAAGGTCATTTTCTAAATAAATAATAATTAATTTGTTGAAAATATATATCTTTTAAGACTCTAAAAAAATATATATCTTTTCATCATAATAAATTGTTTTAATTTTTTTTTTTCACATCAAAGGCAATATCATTAAACTTGAGTCGATGCCACTTTGCCAATTAAAATAAACTAACTTGACTATATATAGTATGTACAAATCTCAAGAAATTAATATAATAGTTTGATAAATTAGTGTGTGTGTGAATGGGGAATTGGGGATCGCTTAGCCTCAAATTGCGATCCCATTTGTGTGACATGTTGACGACATAGCGTGCATATGTTTGCATGCAACAAATACATGTCTATATATATATATATATAAAGTACTAAGATACTGTAAAAAGAATTGATTGTTGTACTAAAGATTATGGTGATGCTTTAGGCGGTTAGGCCCCTTTTGTTTGTCATATCCTTTCATATAAATAAATTAATACATTTTTCAGAAATTGGGGTGGTTGGATCCCTCGATTTCCGGCATAGCCTATTCAACATCAATGAACTCTACTATACCAAGCTGATTTTGGGAGCAATAACATATACAAGTTGTCATGAATCTCATTTGTACACATCGGACTACATTTAAAAGAGAAGAAGAAGAAAAAAAAAAACATAATTAAAAGGAAAAAGAATTGTTGTTAGGAAAAGAAATAAATGAATAAGACGTGTGCAAATTCTTTTTACTTTGTAAGGAGCGAGAGACTTTGCCCATTAGTGGCAGACCAATAAAAGAGTGAGCTAAAGTTTTTTGCTTTGTGAGAAGTGAGAGATTTGCATTGTTTATCGACTCCATCTTTTTAAATGTCTATTCTACTGGTTATGGTGAAGAATCTTGATTTTTTTCTGGAAATAAATTTTATTATTTGTCATCTATTATGTTAATTTACTTAAAGTTAATAATTATAGAAAAATAATAGAGACATCGAGAGTAGTGCATCGAATCTGTGTACCGAATAACGTAACATAAATTCTGACCGTCGATTAATATTAAGTTATAATTAATCGACGATCAGGATTGTGTCACATCATTTGGTGTACAAATTTGATGTACTACTTCGACTGTGAAATTACTCATAATTATATCATGAATAAGTATTGAGTCTACTTTTACATGAATTATAATCATTAATTATGGAAAACGTTGATTTTACAATAGTTGAATATAATTATTATCATAAATAATATTGTAACAATTTTTATTGAGAAATATTTAGAAACGGTCTAATCAAATATTAGCAGGCACGAATGACGTCAGTTTTAAAACCAATGAAAGCTAGAGCACATTTCTAAGATCAGTAGGTGCCCAATAAAAAGGCCCACGTACACGGGCTTTTATTTATTAAAAAAAAAAAACCTTAAATTTTAAACTTTTTTCTAAGGTCAATTTATTCAAATAAATAACTCAGAAAATTTGATAGGATCCAATATCGGGAGAGGTCACACGTGTGGCTTGGTAGCATTCGAATTGGCCGTCAATTCGCGGTAGGTGAGAAACGCCAATCATCTCCGTCCAGGTGGATCACTTCATTTTCCTTCCCTCCATCTCTCCCTGTCATTTTGAATCTCTACATAGCGAGATTTGAATCTAGAGTGAGGAAGAAGAACACAGCATGTTGAGGACTGTAAGACAAACACTCAACTCTTCTTCAGTACTCACTTTTCACCAATTTTAACAACTCTAATCTCAGATTTTAATTAATTTGTTCTTGAAACTTTAAGCACATTGTGTGTTTGTTTGTTTATTTATCTGTGATTCAGAGGATATTATATGGATCCAGAAGTTTCTCCTCTGCAGCAAAAGAGGTAATTATATATATTTACATTTGTTTTTTCGGATTCTTAAGAGTTGAAATCTCAATGTCATTTTAAATAGTTAAAATGAGGAAAGCTGATAGTTTTATGATATAGAATGTTCAACGGTCAAGCGTGTCAGTATGTGCTTGTTATTTGTTTGATATGCGGAGATAAGTTTGAGTTGATTAAATTACACGCACATTGAAAATAACAACCTGCAATTTTCGAATGTTGATTAAAACTATTCAATTGCATTGTTTTGGAAAGTGTCATCTCTTTTTAGAGTATGTAAATATAAAGTTTAATGTTGCCAATAAGTACTTTGCAGATGACAGTGCGAGATGCTCTAAATTCTGGACTCGATGAGGAAATGTCCAAAGATCCTAAAGTGTTTATAATGGGTGAAGAGGTATTATTCAAACAGTGTTTCCGACTTGTTAATTTGTTTGTGTGTCAATGTGCCTTATTTTCTGTATGTGTTGCTGTTTCTCTTTGTATTACAGGTTGGTGAATATCAAGGGGCATACAAGGTTAGAAGTACTTAATGTGGTGAAACATGATCTCATTCAGTTCCAAAGTTCTCATGCATTTTGTTTCTCTATATAGTGGACTAATGTTCATCTCTTGATTAGATTACGAAAGGGCTCTTGGAAAAGTATGGTCCTGATAGAGTTCGTGATACACCTATCACAGAGGTTGCCTCTTCTCTTAAAAATGCCTTGTCTTGTTTTTCTCTTAACCTTTCAGCTTTCCATACCATTGTTCTGTTCTGTAACCTGCTCATGTAATATGCTTCATAGATTTGTTTTGTTAATACAGGAAATACTATAGGGTTTGACTTTGTGTATACATTGTAGGCTGGCTTCGCTGGTATTGGAGTTGGTGCTGCTTACTATGGTTTGAGGCCTGTTGTCGAATTTATGACCTTTAACTTCTCCATGCAGGTCAGAACAATTTTTTTACATACTTGAGCCAAAACTTCGTTGGGTTGATATGTGTTTAATCACAGTTCTTTCACTATGGTTTATTTATCTCCTTTGTTCCATTATATGAAAATTGACAGTTGATAGATCTACTAAGCAATGGGCATTTATGTATATGTTTGTCTAGGCGTGCACTTTATTAATGCCTCATCACTTCATTTTTATGTGTTTCGTTTTAGAATCTACAATTGGGGAATAATTTGTTGTTTTACTTGTCAGGTTCATTTCCTTTATGTTTTTTTTTTTTATTTTTTTTGGCAGGCAATTGACCATATTATTAATTCTGCCGCAAAGTCAAATCATATGTCTTCTGGCCAGATATCTGTACCTATCGTTTTCAGGGGGCCTAACGGTGCTGCTGCTGGAGTTGGTGCTCAGCATTCCCAGGCATTCTTCATATCCTTAAATCTCTTTATTTTTTTTCCTCTCCTTTCCAAGATGGTTAGGAACCTGTTGGGCTCCATTCTGTAAATACTGAAATACATTTATGAGTTTCTTGGTAAGTTGATTGTATCCATAGCTATTTTTTTTTTCCTGTTTTCTAGTATTGGTTCATAGGATGATGGTAGCACACACAGTTGGAAGTGGCTCTTTCCCGTGTAAGTTGTCACCTTCTATTGCTAGAACTACATACCATTTTATTTTAGAAGGGTTAAGGTTCTACTCAGTATTTGCCTAGAAATGGTTGGTGGTCATCCAAAATTTGGTGGAGATATGAATACAGAAAAGGCACATTTGGAACTTTTGTGCAGTTCTCTATAAACCTAACTTTTTAACTAAGATCGAGGTTCATAAAACATGGATAGACATGACGTGTGTGTCTGCATAAAAGGCTCACTCTGAAATTTTGTGCAGTGCTATGCATCATGGTATGCCTCATGTCCTGGTTTAAAGGTGCTTAGTCCGTATTCATCAGAAGATGCTCGGGGCCTGCTAAAAGCTGCTATTAGGGACCCTGATCCTGTTGTCTTCCTTGAAAATGAATTGCTGTAAGTGGTTTACTGAATTTTGATCTCATGAATGAGGCCTGATCTTTAACTGCTCTACCTGCCTAGTGTTTTCCTTCTCATTTCAAATTGAACTGCAGATATGGTGAGTCATTTCCTGTCTCACCTGAAGTTCTTGATTCCAGTTTCTGCCTCCCTATAGGGAAAGCTCAGGTACTCTGACTGAAGCATAGTCTTCTTCCCAATATTTATTGTTAATAACCAACTTTACGTGTATTGTTGACTATGACAGATAGAGCGAGAAGGGAAGGATGTAACAATTACTGCTTTTTCAAAGATGGTTGGTCATGCTTTGAAGGTCTAGTTTTGTATACTGAAGCTGCAGTGGTTTGAATAATTTATGAGTCAAATTATCCCCTTAGTGTTATGCTGCATGAATTGAATTGATTGATTTTCTTTTTTATTTTTATTAAAGAGATTGATTAGCATAAATTTTGGCTGTCGAAGTTATAATAGAATCATTTTGTGGAAGATAAAGTGCATTTGATTTTTGCACTTATTGCCAGCTTTAATTTCTTTAATAAATTCATTACACATGCTTTTGTAGAAGCAGTAATACTACACTCATAACCTTTTTATATAAACTTTCTCTCACAAACTTATATGGCAAAAGATGATTCGGTGATTTTAAATTTAAAATAAACTTTCACCCAATCATCCTTTGCTACATAAGTTTGTGAGAGAAAGTTTGTATAAAAAGGTTGTGGGTATAGTATTACTCCTGTATAAGTAATTAGTCGACCCATTATGTCTCAAGAATGTCTAATGAAAAATGGAGAACATGACTAAGAAGGTTTCAATGTGAAATTGTGTGAAATATCCTGCCATGTCTTTTTTCTTTTCCTTCTTCTGGAACTAACTCGAATGACAAATGTGTAGGCAGCTGAGATGCTTGCAAAGGAAGGAATAAGTGCTGAGGTAACTCACAATTGATCCTTACCTTTTTCATATTGGATTTGGTGACTTGTTTAAGAAGTTAATTGTTCTTGAACTGATACAGGTTATAAATCTGCGGTCAATTCGTCCTCTTGATAGAGCCACAATCAATGCTTCTGTTAGGAAAACTAACAGACTGGTAACAGTTGAGGAGGGATTTCCTCAACATGGTGTTGGCGCTGATATTTGGTAACCTCAATTTATGCATTCTTGCTACTTGTGTTTACTTTTTAATCTTTGTCACATCCTCTCGGTTGCCTCTTATTTTGTATAAGGTGACAACAGTACTTAGTAGAAAATTGTGTTGCTTCCAACAGTACATCTGTTGTCGAGGAGAGTTTTCAGTATCTTGATGCACCAGTTGAGAGGATTGCTGGAGCTGATGTTCCCATGCCTTATGCTGCAAATCTTGAGAGAATGGCTGTTCCTCAGGTTCACATTACTATATTCACTTTGATGTTGCTCTGATGAATGTTGTGAAGTGCTTTTGTGCATCTCGATCAGCTTAAAATTCATATGTAATGTGTTCTTTGAATTGAGAATTATGGCTTGTAGATATTAAGAAAGCAAGTATGTATAGGGGATTAAGACTGTCCGTGGGGAAATTCTCAATTCCGAGCTAATGTTTAAACAAAGAGAATTCTGGGAGTTGAATTATTGGTATAGTATTTTGGAAAGTCAGTGATGACCACCTGTGTGTTAGATCTTGTTTACCCTCATATCCTTTTCCAGCTGAAGGTGTACCGGGTAATGCCTATTTATATATCCTTTGTTAGCATTCATTTCTAGTGGAACCAACCGACTTGGAGAGTTATCTAGAAATCGGACCGCATATAAATATAATTGTGGAAGGCTTGTTAGGTTCAATATCAAGGACACCTTTCTATCAAACAACTGTTTTTATGGCATTCTTGTGTTGCATCTGGCGCCAAAAATAAAATTTCAAATAATCAGTCACTGATCTGAATCTCTCTCTTTTATGTGGTTCGACAGGTTGAGGATATTGTGGGTGCGGCAAAAAGAACCTGTTACAGATCCGTACGAGCGTGACTTTTGTTTCTCCAAAACATTTCGATGCTGAGGAGCTCAAACACACCCGCTAATTGGTTGCTGGTTTACCCTCGATTAACATTTTCAATTAAACAAGGTTTGTAGCTCATTTTTTTTCATCACACTTGGGACTTGGGAGAGGTTGACTCCGTAAACTTAGAGAACAATGCTCTTAACTCTTTAAGAAACGCGAAAATATTAATTCATTGTTTCTATCCAATGGTGTGTAGTTCTATGCATTCAGTTCAGTATATGGATACCATTGCTGTATTTTCGCAATAAACTTACACCAAAATAGATAAGTGTTTGGTTAAATTTTTTAAAAAATTAAATTAAATTAAACGTGATCTAAATTTTAAAAATAACTTTTTGATCAACCTTCAACAAAAATTATGTTATCTTTGAATTTTTATTTAATTATATATTAATTTATTGATTTACATTATAACTATGAAAACATATAAAATAAAAACTTAATTTCGAAAATTTTTATGATGAATGTACTTAANTAAGAAACGCGAAAATATTAATTCATTGTTTCTATCCAATGGTGTGTAGTTCTATGCATTCAGTTCAGTATATGGATACCATTGCTGTATTTTCGCAATAAACTTACACCAAAATAGATAAGTGTTTGGTTAATTTAAAAAAAAAAACTAACTTAAATTAAACGTGATCTAAATTTTAAAAATAACTTTTTGATCAACCTTCAACAAAAATTATGTTATCTTTGAATTTTTATTTAATTATATATTAATTTATTGATTTACATTATAACTATGAAAACATATAAAATAAAAACTTAATTTCGAAAATTTTTATGATGAATGTACTTAAAAGGATTAGAACTTGCATTATCTTTTCTTAAGTAAACAATGAAATATAAAGATCGGCAGATCGCCTTCTACTGATGCCCAAAAATAGGTGCAGTTAAAACATAATTGTTTGCAGCTTAATTGTATATACGAATTGACCCAAAAAAAAAAACTACGTCAATATCTATAAAGCTAGCAATCTTCCAGAAACTATACAAAGAGATGAGATCGTCTGCAAGGATTATACATTACGTGGGGTGAGGTGGGGATTGTGTCCTAAATACTTATAACGCTGAGCTAGAATAAATAGGAATTTTATAGGCAAAAAATGGATTTGTGTGGCAAAACAAGCACCTAATCCGGTGAAGAAAAAAAAAATATCGTATTAACTAATTCCATTATTCTCTATTTTTCGGTTGCCAAAAACCTCAGATTTAGATTTACCTTTGAAAATCATATCCAGAGATAGACCTATTGAGGAGGGCTTGAAACCACGGATGAAGTTCCGAGAAGGAGCCATTTGGGGATCCTCCTTATTGGGTTTTCTCTTTCTAGAAGGACCCCCAAAAGCTCCAGTGCTTTTGGCACATGCTGCTGCTGATGACTTTGGATTGAAAGTTGATGAAGTAATAAAAATATCAGGCGCTTTACCTGATGCGTTTTGAGGGTGTCCTACAGCTCCATCCTGATGGGGAGGAGGAAATTTCTCACTCTTGCTCTTGGCATTTCCTTGTGTCACAACTCTCCATCTCTGAAAATCACCAAACCAATATAAGTCAACAGACAGAGAATATGATTCAAACCCTTTCTTTTATGTTTCAGGTGTATGCATGTGTTTTGACATAACATGAGTGCAACTCGATGACCAAAATTAGCCAAGTCCATTTTGATGAAATTTTGATGACACGTTTATCTCAAAGGGATGTCAAGATGAAAGCTGATTTTACCATCAGTAGTGATCATCTGCCTCATTACCTTTCAGGACGATGCTAAAAGATTGTGATTTAGCACATAGTATGGGAAGAAGATCAAAACAAATAACAGTATGATGGTCAGAATGACCAGAATTTCAAAACAAAGAAATCTCACGGGTGAGGTTTAACTTATGGCATGCATCGTAAATAATGCAAAGATAGTCTTATAAAAAAGTAAAGAATGCAAGGAAGCTCAAGATCAAATAACTAATCCTACGGAATGCAGTAGGCAATGAAAAACCTTTATTTAAAAGGGCAGTTTAGGAGTTCAGAATTCATCAAGATGTAAATGACATTGAAGCTTGTGCATGAGGTGCAACTGTGGAAGGATGGAACAGGGTCCATCAGCATAGATTAAAGACTTTTCCATCATCTCAAAAAAATAAATAAATAAAACAAGATGTGAAAATCTTGCCATACATCTAAGTTAGCTTGAATCTCTGCATTGGCTTCTGGAGCTGGAATAGCCCGACCAACCCGGTCACGAACTCTAACTCTCCTGGCACCATCAACAGCACTAGCTTTCCCACTTAGACCTCTTTGCCTAAGAGAAAAACAGACATGTCTGTCAGCATATAGACACAACCAATTTAAAACATACTAAACATGATGAAAGACAGGAAATTTAACCTTCTTGCTTCTTCATCTCTCAATTTTACATCCATTTCTTTGCTGGGAGGATACTTTGGTAAACTGGATGGCTCACAAGCATGAGGTTCGGTGGTAAAGAACTGTATTTAGAAAACCAATTTAATTATTATAGACAATCAATCAGAACCAAAATCAATTTCTCACAGTCCTCAGTAGTGTGCATCCAGCCAATTTTTATGTATAGAACAGAATTGTTCAGTAGCAATTACACTGAACCAGTTTTAACAGCAAGGATATGTCACAAAGTGATCTTCAAATATAACAATAATTGTTTTCTTGACTGAAGCCAAAACAAAAAAAAAAATAATAATAATAATAACATCAATCTACTCACTTCACTATCTAAGGCTGCTGTGGCAGTGCCTCGTTCATCAGGATCTATTGAAAGAAGAGTTTCTATTAGAGGTAGAGAAGAAGATGGAAAGTCCTTAAAGGTTTCAGCTATACAGCGTTTGTATGGCTGCTGAGGCTTAAAAAGTGTTGCATTTGGCAATTTGGATTTCTTCCAATATTCCTCTGATGGGGAGCCACACAACTTAAATATCTTGTGGAGCTGTTCGACCTAAGCAGGTAAAGAATCAAAGAAAGAGTCAAATCAAACGCAAACTAACTTGCCAACTAAAAAAATGAATAACAAAAGAACTTTAGCATTCTCATAACTGGCTATAGAAAACAGTAGAATTCAAATGAAGATATTTACCAATGGAAACCTTAACAGTAACCGAACAACAAAAACCAGAAAGATTAATACCTCTGTCCTTCCAGGCATTATTGGCTTGCCAGCAAGCAACTCTGCCAAAATGCACCCAGCACTCCATAGGTCAACTCCTACACCATAGTAAGTGGCCCCAAGAAGAAGTTCTGGGGGACGGTACCAGAGGGTGACCACTCGACTAGTCATGGGTTGCTTGTTCCTAGGATCATAGAAAGTTGCCAATCCAAAATCAGCAATTTTCAGTATCCCCTCATTGTCAATAAGCAAATTGGAACCCTTGATATCACGATGCAAGACACCTTGGTTATGGCAATGCTCAAGCCCAGACAATAACTGCCTCATATAGCATTTGATCTGACACAGAAAATTAATCGAGAAAAAAAAAAGTCAGATTTTACATAATTAAATGTAAAACTCAAGCATAGACAACTAGCATTAGAAACAAGTAATTAGCCATGAATAGGCTTAACATGAAAACAGAGAACTATGCATCATTTAAAAATGAAGACTTTTGTGGATAAGAAGAAATGCAATGCCAACAAGTTGTAAATCCAAAAAAATACCACCACAGTCACCCAAGCAAATACCGACCCGAAAACCTAAGATTTTAGATTAATGTCTCAGTTATGCACTTCTGAAGTACCGAAGTCAGAGTATATATCTCTCCATGAGGTTGCTAAAAGTTTGGAGGATAAGACAAGTAAATCAATATTATACATTTTGTTTGCTATTCTGATGGGCTTAAAAAAAATGAAAAAGCCCAACACAACCAGGACAAATTGTTGAGCATTGCCAGACTGGAGTTTCTAGTTTTCTGAGAATTTGAGGTCATAAACAATTGGGTCTCAAAATTAACCTCTTTTCTTTCCTTGCATTTCCTCGTTTGTTCCATCTACAGAATCCCCAACAAAGTGAATCCGAAGGAACTCTTCATATCCAGAATCAGTGAAGTGATAATTTTTTTTTTTTTTTTTTTTTTTTGAATTCGCATGTTCAAAATAAAACAAACATTAAGTCATCTGAAAACATCCAAGCACTATAATTCCATTAAACAGACAACATTGGATTTGCAAACCACCTGGAATGGGACCCAATAACCCAGAAAAGTTCTCACAGTTCGCAACAAGCAAAACAAAAAAGACAAACATACCCATATAAGCTGAAAAGCCAATTATAGAAACAATAACAAAATACGCTACACATCCAAAAGCAAAACAACAAACCTACAATAGTACAAAACCGAATATAACCAAGATCACCCAAAATTTCAGAATCTAAATCAAATTTTAACAAACGGCAATCATTAATTACTTAAAAGTTATTCATAAATATATACCTGGGGCTCAGTGAACTTGACAGTTTGGCAAGCAGCAAGACCAGCAAGATCATGTTCCATGTACTCAAAAACCAAGTAAAGACTACAAGACATTCTTGAAGTAACCAAACCCTCAAGCTTAATCACATTGGGATGATCGAGCCTTCTCAATACAAGTATCTCTCTTGCCATAAACTTAACACTCTCTGGCTCTAAATTATCAAACCTAACCTTCTTTAATGCCACTATTTTCCCTGTCACAAGATCCCGAGCTTTGTACACATTGCTGTACGTCCCCTGTCCAATCTAAACAACACAGAACAATTAAAAATTAAATTTAACAAAAATTAATAAAAACAATATTTTTTTGTTTTTACTTTGTCGAGTTTCTCGAAGGTGCTTGCGCGGCGTGGAGTCCAATCACGGATGGCATCACCGGCAACGGCCATGAGCCAAGACGGCCATCCCTGCTGAGTCTCCGTCCCAATTCTCCGTCGCTCCGGCGGCGGAAAGTCTCCGGTGTGTCGTCTTATATCATTCCTGTTTATCGTTTTCTCCTCCTCCTTAACTCTAACGACATGGTTAACGTCTTCGGAGACGGTGACGGTGACGGCGGAACAGGCATTCTCAGAGCTCCGACGACGATCGCAAGTATTCCGCCGATCTCCCTTGCCTAAAACACAGCCCATTCTATCAGCACCGAATCATCTGAACACAGAAAGTAACAAATATTCCGGTACCGCGAAACAGGCAAAATGGTAGAGTGAAGTGTGTCGTGTTGGGTTACTATTAGGAAAAAACGAGGGCGTTTGGGTGAAGGTAGAATTAGAAATCGGCGTTTGAGAGAGAGAGAGAGAGGGAGAAAGAGAAGCCCGCAAAGGAGGTAAGGTAACTGGTGCTAGTAAGTGAGGTCGGGGTTTTGTTTGTTTGTTCAAGTAATTAACAGTAAGTGAGAAAGAGAAAGGCGAGTGGGTTGAGTTGAGTTGAGTTGTAGTAGATGCTTGGGACTTCGATATTTGTGTTGTGTGGGAAGTGGACACGGAGTTTTAGTTTAATTACGTGATTGCCATTCCACGTCCTCAAACTGAAACTTACTTATACTATATAAAGTCAAACTGCGGAAGGATGATAGACAGAAAGTTGTTTTGTTTGGGGTTCAGATTTTTAAAAGGAGTGCAGCTTTTTAATTTATTTTTCATCATGATTTTCAAATTAACAAAAAGGTATTGACATGATGATTTTCTCAACAGTTTTTTTAATCCATGATTATTTTGTTTTAACAATTATCTACATCTTATTCTCTAAAGATTATCACCATTTATTGTAAATATATCTGCAACCAGTAGCATTTAATGTAAATAGTGTGAATTAGTAATTAATCTTGATTATACATTTAATACTAAATTATGGAATTTATAATAGTTAGAAACAAAAATTAAGTAGAGGAATGATTGAGTGGGAAACTAGGTGAAGAAGGACCAGACCAATTTAAAGCAAGGCTCAGAGATAAATCTAATTCCACCTACTCCACCCCTGTCTATTTAAGACGCCTGATTTTGCATTTATTGTATTTAAGGACAGGGTCAAACTTTCATATTACCACAACCTAACTATATTAATTTATTTCTAAAGTTTAGGGTATTTGATATTAAACAATCAATTCCCTTTTATAAATCATTAACGTACCTCAACTTGCAAATATTTAAATATGTTAAGAGTTTGTCGTCATCCTATTAAAAATGAAACTGAGGTTAAACACATTAATAAATCAAATTTAATTAAACAATTTATATACATTGACATTGTTGTATGTGTTGAATATTGGATCATACAGTTGGTCAACCCCCTCTTCTTCTTCTTATTTTTATTTCCTTGGGCATCTAAAGTGTGTAAACTTGAGAGTTAGGTGAAAAACAATGGTCACACATACGGTCAAGTATTTATTTATTAAATAAACCATAGTCTATTGTAGGTTTTACAGCGTATATAATTTATAGTTTTAAATGATAGAAAAATATATTTTTTTTCTATGAAGTTGGACAATGAAAAGGACTTATACATTATAGTAAAATTCTTATAGATTAAATGAATTGAAATTTGTTTCAACAATAGGTGGCACTGAGAGCATCTTCAACCCAGCGTCATTTTGATGTTTTACACCAAAATGGTGTGGATAATGTTCTCCAACCCAACACCAAATTGGTGTAAGTGAACAATATCACGCCAAATTTAGTGTAATACTGTTCATCCACACCAATTTGGTGTGACACTATTTATCTACTATAAAAATATATTTTATTTTTTTATTTTTGTTATTTGTATTTATATTAATTTGATTATTATTTATATTAATATTTATAATAATAATTATATAATTCAAAAAATGATGAAAAATTAAAAAAAAAACTTTATTCAATGCAAATATTAAATTACAATAACTTAAAATAAAAATTAACACTAATTTAAAAACACTAAAATTAAAAGAAAATACAACATAAACTAAAATAACAATTTAGTATTCCGATAGATTAGTTCTGGATCCTCTAAGAGCATCAAAATATTACTTTTAATGTCTAATTCGGAAAATTAAATTACTATCAATATGAAATTTTACTTTTGTGTTTTTGTTTTTTTTTTTTTTTGGGTGGCATTTTATATTAGATATAATTTTTTTTTATATATTAAATGTAATGTTTATTTGATTAAATAAATGCTTAATTTTATTAAATTAGTATAATTTTCAAAGTAATTATTATTTAATAAAAATAGCATTCCTAATATTTAATTAATTAATATATATATATATATATAAATAATTAGTGAAATAAATTAATTATTGATTATTAATAAAAAGAAAGAGAATATTTTAAGAAATATTTTTTTATGTGTAATATTTGATGTAATTGGTTGGAGATGCAATAGTGAAATACATTAAATTAACATCAGTTTAGTGTTTGTGGCTGGAGATGGTCTGACGAAACAAATTATACTCTATAAACAAGATATTATCATTACCAAATTAAATTGAACTCCATGGAACTTTTCAACCTTGCCTCCATAAAAATATTGCATTCACACAATGATACAACATCATTTAACTTGTCTACAAAGAAAAAAAAAAAAAAGGTTATATTAAATAAAAAACTTCATTGTCAATTTATATTAAATATATTTGAGACAAAGCAACAATCCCTTACTTGAAAGTGATTTAAAGAATATATTCTTTAAATTAAATTCATATAGGGGCATAATTGCGGTTTCATGTGAAATTGAGGCGTAGTAATAATGAATTATGTAATATATTTGAAAGAAAAATAATGAATAGAATTTGACTAAAAGTAATGCATGCAATTCAAAGAAAAGGAATGAGAAAGAGAGTTTGATTTTAGGAGAAATTAGCTGCAACAAACCGAGTCAAGAGTCAAAAACACGTTAGTTTGAAGTTTGAATACAAGTGTTGAATCTACAACAATTTCATTAATATCATTTCTACTTGTAATTAAATGTCATTCTGCAATGAGCCCACCGTTTTGTTTCTCAGTTCACAGTCCATTTGGCTCCATTCTATATTATCCTCAGTTAAGAATTAACAAATGCCATCCCTCTGTTTTTAAGTAACGTGGGCCTGAGCCGAGTCTCAACATTTGCACATCACATAACAACCCAATCAATTTCCATGGCAGAAGAGTAACATAGAGCCATAGAAGTACATGTGCGATCCCTCATTGCTTGGGTTAGGGTTTGGGTATTAATTGATTAGTTAGGTGATCGTTCAATTTTTACTTTATGGTTAGCAATCTTGTTAAGTATTTCCTTAATTTTGAAACTGTCCAATTAAGAAACGTATTTGATGCTGATGCTTGATTGACTTTGTTGAATTAACTCCAAATAAATGTTGTAACTTCCCTTGTGGGTTATCTTTTTCTTGACTGATTTGATCACAAAAGAATGAAAAGTTCGTTTCATGGTCAAAGTTGCTTAAGGCTCAAGTGTCTCTCTTTTTTTTTTTTTAATAAATAATTTAGCCCGCTTGAAGGCTAAAGCATGCCCACGTTTCTTTTTTAATGAACACGGACGAGTCCATTTTCCATGTAAAACATGGTTTTGGGCTTATTGGTTGTTCACTTTGTGAGATTCAACTTACAATCAAGAAAAATTATTGTTTAGTCTTCAGATTGAATGAGTCTCGTAAAGATAAATTATATTTCAAAATTATCCTTATCACGCTTAACCTAAAAATAAAAATTTGTTAATCTAACAAAACATTAAAACAGTATGATTATGACATTTTGTTAAATTAGGAGTAAACAACATATTCCCACCCAAGGTTTGACAAAATCCCAGTTGGTACCCCAAGTTCCATTTATTCTAGATTTTCACCCTTAAAATAATACTGTTAACAATTTTTAGGGTAGTAAGGATACAATTACCATAATGCCCTTAACCCTAAATTAATAAATTATGTTTTAACCCCTAAATTATTAAAATTATAAAATTAACTATCTTATTTTGAAATTACTTCAATTACACCCTCAGCGACTGTGCATTGTCTTGGTTTTCACCGGATCTGGGTTGTTTACGATGGCGACGAACTCCCTGGTCACCTCCATCACCTTCCCCATCGTCCATTGTCCAAAACCCCTCTGGTTCCTGATTCATTGGGCCTCCAATCGTCGGTGCCATTAGGCTTTGGTTTTCGTTGTTTTTCGCTAGATTTCGGTCGATTCCGACGACGAAAATCCAATTAGACATCACCACTACAACCAGCGGCTCCAAATCTACAAAACTCTTATGTCCCTAACAACCGTTTAGTGGCCATTTACCGATGGAGATCGACGAAAACTAGTCGCATGTGGCGGCTGTCGTGGCTAGCGATCGACGAGTGATGAGGGGTTGTGAAGGGTAAGGTTTTGTAGAGAGGAGGATGAGGGTTCGAATGGTGGTGACAATGGTGATTTTGGGTGGAAGAATTGCCAGAAAAGGGCGAAAAAATGTTGGTAGTGATGCTGGCTAACGTGCATCGGAGCTTTGTTAGGGACGACGATCTGCTAATGTGTTATATCTGACCATTTTTCGTTACTTGAAGGGTGTGAATTTGGAATAAATGCCTAAATGAAACTTAGGGTACCAACTTGGGATTTCGTCAAACCTTGGGTGGGAATATGTTGTTTACTCAATTAGAATCTTTTAGAAGAATAGGAGAAAAGTATAATAGTGGAAAAAGATAAAATTTGTATTTGGAATAAAATATTATTTAATAAATTTTAATTAAAATGAGGTTTAGAAAGAATTCTAGTGGGCTCAAATAACACCACTCCTTTCATATTCTCTTATGATTGCTGCGGTTTTGGCAAGATAATGTAGCATTGCCGTTAGTTATATGAACAGACACGAGTTCTTCACTAATAATAAAATGGGCAGGCATTACTGTTTGTTGCTATCTGTAAAAGTGTAAATATCAGAGTGATTGTATAATATGAGCCANATAAATTATATTTCAAAATTATCCTTATCACGCTTAACCTAAAAATAAAAATTTGTTAATCTAACAAAACATTAAAACAGTATGATTATGACATTTTGTTAAATTAGAATGAGTGAGCGACATATTCCCACCCAAGGTTTGACAAAATCCCAAGTTAGTAATCCAAGTTTCATTTATTCTAGATTTTCACCCTTAATATAACACTGTTAACAATTTTTAGGGCAGTGAGAGTGCAATTACCATAATGCCTTTAACCCTAAATTAATAAATTATGTTTTAACCCCTAAATTACTAAAATTATAAAATTAACCATCTTGTTTTGAAATTACTTCAATTACACCCTCAGTGAATGTGCATTGTCTCGGTTTTCACCGGATTTGGGTTGTTTCCGATGGCGGCGAACCCCCTGGTCACCTGCATCACCTTCCCCATTGTCCATTGTCCAAAACCCCTCTGGTTTCCGATTCATTGGGCCCTCCAATCGTTGGCGCCGTTAGGCTTAGGTTTTCGTTGTTTTTCGCTAGATTTCGGTCGATTCCGACGACGAAAATCCAATTGGACATCACTACTGCAACTAGCGTCTGCAAATCTACAAAACCCTTATGTCCCTAGCAACCGTTTAGTGGTCATTCACCGATGGAGACCGACGAAAACTAGTCGCATGTGGCGACTGTCGTGGCTATCGATCGGCGAGCGATGAGGGGTTGTGAAGGATAAGGTTTTGTAGAGAGAATGATGGGGTTCGAATGGCGGTGACAAGGGTGATTTTGGGTGGAAGAATTGCCAGAAAATGGCGAAAAAACGTTGGTAGTGATGTTGGCTAACGTGCGTCGGAGCTTTGTTAGGGACGGCGATCTACTAATGTGCGCCTCCTCTGCGAAATGACCAATTTACCTCTGAACTGTTATATCTAACCATTTCCCGTTACTTTAAGGGTGGGAATCTGGAATAAATGAAACTTGAGATACCAACTTAAGATTTCGTCAAACCTTGGGTGGGAATATTTCGTTTACTCAATTAGAATCTCTTAGGAGAATAGGAGAATAGTATAATAGTGGAAAAAGATAAAAATTGTATTTGGAATAAAATATTATTTAATAAATTTTAATTAAAATGAGGTTTAGAAAGAATTCTAGTGGGCTCAAATAACACCACTCCTTTCATATTCTCTTATGATTGCTGCGGTTTTGGCAAGATAATGTAGCATTGCCGTTAGTTATATGAACAGACACGAGTTCTTCACTAATAATAAAATGGGCAGGCATTACTGTTTGTTGCTATCTGTAAAAGTGTAAATATCAGAGTGATTGTATAATATGAGCCATCAATTATCAATTACAATGCTTATTCTGTTACATGTTTAAGAAAAAAAAAAAAAATCAATAAAAGGGGCGTATCAAGTAATCTATAAATCTATTTATTAAATTATAGAATGTTTTAAAAATAAATAAAGAACGAGTAATACTATATATATATCATTTTTATACAATATTTCCTATATAATATTATGTGATAAGATATGATTGGCTAATTTAAAGTTAGAATTAAACTTTCACCCAATCATATCTTACAACATAATATTATATAAAAAATGTTGTATAAAAATAATGTATAGCTAGTATTATTCATAAAGAACTAAATTAGATCGTTAAGTCTGTATGTCTTAAAACATGTATAAACTCATTAGTTATGGAACAAAAAGTTATTATACAAGTTAACTCATATTTATGGAAGATCAGCGTTAAGTGCGCCTTTCAAGAGTATTGATCAGAATCAGATCCTGTGAGAAAATAGTCGATAATCGACTACGGTTTTGAAGGATTTGTTGCTTTAAATGGCGAGAGAGACGAGCCCTGGCCTAAAAATACTCTGGGTCTGGACCATCGGCACCGCCGCCAGTACACACTATTCTCAATTTCTTTTCACCATATGTAGTTGTATACGTATTAAAACTGATTAATAATTTGTATGATAATCTTTTTCTTTTTTGTTAGTTTTGGTTACAAATGTGGTGAGGACTAGACTAAGAGACATGCAGCAAGTCATCGACGATGGACAACAACAACAGCAAAGTACTGTCAGTGATTCAATTCTAGTTGACCCCTTACCAGAATCCGACGAGGGAATTATTAAAGAAGTCAAAACGTAGGTTTCTGTATGATTTGCATAGTTTCGGTGTAATGTGTTTCCTCCTGGAATGGAAAGATCTGTTCGATTTTCTGTTAACTTAAGAGGGGAAAAATTGTATTTTGTGAGAGTATGCTATCTGTTTGTTGAATGGCCTCACTGAAAATTTTCTCAAATAATTTCATGGATTCAATACTTTCATGGGTTTTTTTTTTAGCATTATATGTGCGTGAGTGGAAAATTTCAATAACTTAACATTGAAGGAGCCTGAGCCCAATCATCATGTTCACTGATGAGTTTTCCGGTAGCTTGATGAGGTTCACTTAGCGTTATCTTTTCCATTCTCACGTTATAATGTTTAATGGGTGTGGATTGTTGCCATATTTGAGTCCTCCAGCTGGGATTTGTTGTTAGGAAAGTGGCTGCTGCGTGCATGCCAACACTTTATAATTGTCACTAGTGGAGTCTGTAAGTAATGTGCACGACCACTTGGTGCACTATTTAAAGAAATATGTGTGCAGTTGTACTTGTACAGGGCTATTTGGTAGTGCAGTGGTATGTATGGGTTGTCTTTAATTTTATATGTGTAGAGATTAGAGACTTTCTTTTATAATTTTTACTTGATTTGATTTTCTTTGCTTTAGATTCCTATGTCCCATATTGGATTTTGGTAAACTTTCTTCTAGCTTCTTCGTATATAAATAAAAGTTGCTGTATTAATCATCATCAATCTTCATTGTCGGTTTGTATTCTAATTCTTATGAGTCTATGGTTTCTCATTTTGCTAATGTGCATATTTTGCAGATGTGGCATTTCATTAAGGCATTACACGTGTAGGTTAGATAATCATTTCACCTCAGGCCCTAAATTTAGGCGTCTGTAAATCCACACCTTATTTTATTTTGATGTCTTTTCTTCTCCTACATTGTGTGTGGTTTAAACAGGAATGAAGTAGAACTTGAGAGGCTATAAGAAGGGTTCTTACCCCATTCAAAAAGAGAAATTATGTTCATGGACTTCAATATTTTATTTTGAGGATTGTGGTATATGTTTGAGAAAGTGCACTTTATCCTACAAATATATTTAGGAGACCAGGGGTCACTAGTGGTTTAAAGAACCACTTGATCTTAAGCTGACTAGCAACTACTATAAATTTATTCTCTAAAATGTTGAAGTATGATCCTGTAGACTTGAAGCCCAGCAGACAATCTATGGATTCTGTTAGACTCGAGCTTCTTGCTATAATTTTCTAGATTATTCCTTGCTTATGAATAATGTCAGTTATTCACATGTACAGGTCTATATGGTCCTGCACCTTGAGTTTAGACCTCATAGTATGAGTGCTGAATTATGGACCAGATGGGCTAGGGCTGAATGCATAAAGAAGATGTTTTAGCAACTACTAATAGTTTAACCAGAGAATTAGGACCCTCCAAAAAGTAAAAAAGGAAACAATTGGTGTATAATATAGCAACCAGTACGATTGACGCTAGTCCTCATGTTGCCATTGAGAGGGACCAACACAATGGAACATCTGGATAGGAAAGGAACATGTGTGATGGCTAACTTCTTTTATTACCACTTACTATCTCCATCATTGTCTATCATTTCCTTAGTTTTTGCATCATTGCTCTATTATTATTAGTTGCAAGAAAGCTTTGGGTGGCAAAATTTGAAGAGAATAGTGAAGATGGGACTGGTGTGCTGCGCAGAACCGCCGGATGATATGCTGCTTGGACTCCTGGTAGCTCTAGTCCTGGCAATGATGTTCTTCATCATCTGTGTTCCCCAGCCTGCAAGGAGAGTTACTGTATACCATTGCTGTTAAATTATTGTTTATAGTACGTTAGTTTCCGCTAATGATTCTTGTCCCTATATTGTTCCTTTTACCAATGTTTTAGTGCATCTTCAATTGTTGTTGGTTTAGTTATCTAAAGCGTTGAATTTAAGGTGGAGGTATTGAATAAGAGAACAATGCAAGTTGAAGTTTCTTCTTCTTCTCTGTTCCAGTGGATTTAATGTCCAAACTTGAGAGTAAGCCTTAACGGAGACTAACAAATGTGTTTGAGATACTTTTGTTGAACAAAATTTGAAACGTAGGTGGAAAATTCTTCCAAGCCAACCAAAATTGACAATGAACTTGGCGTCTGACCACGCGCACCGTACGCCAGCCATTCAACTCTCAGTTGTCTCCTTAATAAGGAGAAGAAAAGAAATACTCCAGCTATTATCTATTTCCCAACTTAAAACGACTGATTCATATATTTGAATTTGATGAAATTCATAAGTTGGGAAACTGATTTGTTCACTTCGAAAGAAATTCGCTCGAACTTTTCAAATATTTAAGTTAGACTGAAAATTTTACAAATCATCTGACCCTTGCTGAATTGTGCCAAAACCCATCAGTTTTAAATAGAGAAAAGCCTATAAATTGAAAACTATCCACAAAAAATTGATGTTACAACCCAACTTATTTACTTCCACACAAAATAAAGATCCATGTTCTTTAGTCGTTATCAGGTTCTCTAGATGTTGCTATTTACAGACTCCTCAACTACTAGATGGTCGAGGCCGAGACTCAAATTGTAGCTAGAAACAACAGAGATGTGTGATGTACATCCTCTTTCGAATTGAGATGTCTGATGCATATACCCTTTTGAAATGAATCTATCAACCCGCGATAATTCTCCCACTCATAATTTCCCATCCCTACAACTCAAGTCATCATCTGCTGCAGTTCACTAGGGATTTTGGCCTTAGAATTCGTGATATGTATAACAAAGTTTGATCTGGTATTTAGTGTAGGATAATCACATTCTAATTGCCAAAATAAATTACTCTAGTTTTTGAAAAAAAAGAGGCTAACAGTATAAATATATATATTTCACGTTGAACTCTGAGACGTCATTGACAATTAGTTCTAGCAGCAAAAGCAACTCCATTTGTGAAAGATCGGAAGTTGCAGTCAATTTAGGTGGAAGCAACTGACATCAAAGGCATGTCTGAGTGAATGGAAGACGGTCCAAAATAAGAGAAAATTTACTGAATCCATGACTAAACTAGTTGGCTTATATTCAGATTAATCAAGTGTCTTTGCATAATATTCAGTTTCCTCATCAGTAGGCAGCTGCACCACACCCTAACTGGAGCAAAGCTTTTCAAGGGCCATGTTTTCATCGCCACCAACAGCCTCTAGAGCACTCCTCACCAAAGATTCAGGAAAACCCATCTCCATTAGTTTCTGTACCTGTACCAATCCAAAATTGGTTTAGCATATTAACAAATAAGGATATGCCTGCTATTAAGACAACTTCTAATTCAGAAGATGAGACTGCCCACTGTGTATGTCCTAGGAGTAAGTTAAACAATAAGGCATAAAAGACAATTAAACCAAGGCCTAGAGTAGGCATACCTTTTCCTCCACCCCAAGAGATGAAGTCTTGGCAAAATTTTCTGTCCAGTAGCGAGCTGTTCCTTTAAAAGTCTGATAGTCCCTAAGATACTGCAATGTCACAGACTACTTTAGAATTACAACAAAAATCTGGGAATGGGTAGGAGCTCTGAACAACTCTGGCACTGAATTAAAAAACTTAAGTCTGAAATTAATGACATGAATATCCGCCTGAAATACATAAGTATAACCACAGGAGCAAGATGGAAGGAAACTAGACCTGTTGAGCTACCACGGCATCTTGAGGGTCATCAGGTTCAGGAGCAGACAGCAATGCCTGTACAGAGAGAAGTGCTGTCTTCAGAGTAAGTGCTGGGCTCCATTGATCCTTCAGGATATCTAGGCAAATTGCTCCACTTTGACTGCTTATATTAGGGTGCCTTCATTTATAGAGTAAGAAAAAAGATTCAATTGTTATCATTTCAGAACTCAACTGACTAAAGTAATATACTGTTGCATCAAATAACATGTAATTGACGAACTCAACCCAAATATTTCCATCCACCAAACGGCTGCCCAAATAACATAAAATCTGGCAACAAACTTCCCAATTATTTCAGAATCTTCAAATCATTATATATTCCTAAAAATAAATGCATAACAGATTAGATCAGTGAGCAGAAACACCAAGAAAATTAGAATTTTTTTTACTATAAATAACGAATACACAAAAATCAATCTAATAACATACCTACAAGTAACTCAAGGAAATCTCAAACAACTACAACAATATCTCATTAGAAGAGAAAAAGATAATAACAATATATGTCATTGTTTCAAAATATGACAGACCACTTCCATTAGTTAATAGTCCAATACACTCAGTTTTACTTTGCTTGTTTCAACAGATATCGGAAAACAAAGGCTCCAATACAAAGTGCTAAGCACCTGTTGGGTGATAATAAGGTATCCTTTTTATACATGCTTTCAAGTTCTTGCTTATGAGGAGGGAGAATGAGATTAAGGAATGGCCTTACATAAAAGGTGAAAAAGTTGTCCACATAAAGGCTATACATAAAAACATCAAGAAGCTTAAAAGAATCAAAAGAATTTGAAATCAAGTTACTAGGACATCCTCAAAGAGTCTAGAAGTCAACAATTATAAATCAAATTAAAAATCCTTTATCAAGCTACTAACATTTCCATAACTAATATGGATTAAAGAAAAAGCCACATCTCAAATTCAGAAGACACATAAGCCCATAAAAAAAGCCAAGAAACTAGATATGTCTTACGATAATAAGTCAACTAACAACTATAAGATATTGATTAATGTAAATGCCTTTCCCAATTGATATACGTACATATATATATATATATATATATATATATATACATTTTGGAATTCACGACCATGCCATGTTATTAAAGGTTTTTCCTCAAAGTGAAAATTGCTTCAATCTCATCTGAATGCTCATGAGAACAGGTATGCACATCAAACTATGAAGTTCAATTTACCATCTAAAAAAAGAGAGAGTGCCATTTGCATTTTATTTCTATGATAAATACCAGGAAAGACAATAGCAGCCACTTTAAGGAGTTCCGTTTTCTAAAGCTTATCAACTGTTCTCCTAGTACAACCACCGTATGTTAACATTCCCTGAGACCATTATAAGAGAAACAATTGCACATACACAATCCATGTTTGGTTATTAAATCAATAAAAACTCCAAGAATAAATTAGAAATAAAAGCAATGCACAAGCAATTCCTACCAAACTTTGGTCACAAAATGCATTTTGGGAGGCTCAAAAGGATACCCATCTGCAAACAGAAACCAAACATCAAAAATACAAGTCAACAATGGCTTCTAAGTCCAGCATCATAAATACAAATAAAAACAGGCAAGAAAACAAGCAACTACGAGCATAGTAAGTGAAATACCTAATATGATAGGAACCCTCAAGTGGGTCAAAATTTTAATAATTTCCGAACTTTGTAATATTGGTCCAGTAACCTTCCTTAGACGTTTTTTCTTAACTTGCATCATCATATTGGTATTACAAAATGTCACATTAACAAGATTTGACATAAAATGTCAAAAAACAAGAAAAAGAAACAACAACAACAACGACATTTAGTGTTATTCATATGATCATATATATGTGTATTACACTGCCAAAAATACGTACTTCCAGTAACCTTACTGAAATTAAACTCCCGGTAACATAGCAACTTCCAACTTTCCCAAGATATCCATTACAACAGTACAATTACGAACCCACTAAATCTGAGCACAAAACCGCTTGAAAAACCCTAAACCCAGATCAGGATTCATCTAAAATTGCAAATTATTAGTCTTAGAGCTTAACCAGAAACAAGGAAACGATAAAGTAGATATTTTTACCTGGCAATTTGATGTCGAGATGAAAAGTGCCGCCTTCGTAAGGAGTGCCGATGGGTCCAGGTATGGTACCCGATAAATGGACGAGATTGTCAGAAACAGGGGCGATTTTGATGCCTGAAGCCTCCATGTCTCTGCTACATTCTTGTAGCTCCTTTTGTACGCGACCAAAGTCCACCATCTTCTTCAATTCGATTCAAACCCTAAAGGAAAAGAACTCTTTGCTTTAGTTAAAGCTTTTGATTTAAATAGGTTAATATAGTTAGCTTTGTTTCCTCTTGTTTTGTTGTTTGCCTGTCTTTTCAAGCAAGAAATTGAGAGAAAGATAATGGCAGTGAGAGGTTGGGATGAGAGAAGTCGCTCTACACTTTTATTTGCTTTTGTTTTTTTAATCTCAAGAAAGGTGGAGAGAAAATGTATATTGTGGGGATGACAACGTAAAAACCTTATTTGGACATGAGACAAAAGCGACGTCGCTACAATTAATGATAATGGGTATTAACATTAAATATACGTATCAAGAACGACATCGTTTCAGTTTTGAATTTTCTTAAAGTTTAAGAATACTCAAAGGGTGCGGTCCATAAAATATTATATTACTAAGAATGTTATATTAATGAAAAGATAGATTACCTTGAATACTAAAAATATTTAGAGAAATGTGTTTGGTTAGGTTGGAATAAATTGATAGACATGTTATATTAAATATGTTTGGTTGGGAGGTAAATGAGTGGATATATTATATAAATTACTAAATTGTCCTCTTTTTAAAATATTACTTTTATTATCATTTTTTTTAAACCCCTATATTTAAAATTTTGCTAAAACACCCTAATCATATAAAACTTTAATTTGTAGCAAACTCACTCCCACCCACCTTAAGCCACTGCCACTAGTCAGCCACGACCCCTGGAGCCGTCGACAGTTGCTAGAATAGAGCACAACTGACCGGATCTAGCTGGTCGTGTGCCGGTAAAGCCGTTTCACAACCAAAGATGTGGTCGTGGATTTGGCTGTTTCTGGCTAGATCTATTCTGGTCATTTCCAGGCATATCCACGGTGGTCTGGCCATTTTCGGTCTTCGATTTGGCCGTCGGCCACCAGTGGTGGTCTTTGATGGCTGGGAGCATTTTGTTAACTTTTAAACTTTTTTGTGACTGAAGTGTTTTAGCTAAATTCTCAAATGTAGGGGGTCTGGGTAATGGTTATTTGGTAGACATTTGAGAGCAATTGTGTCAGAAATGATATTTAATTAAGGGCAAAATATGTATAAAAATTAGATTACCTCAGTAATATTTTAATAACACACCTTGGTAAGGTAATCTGATTACCTCATATATTACCAACAATAAGCACTATTTGCAACAAAAGATTATCGTAATATTTTATTACTTGCAAACAAAACAATGGAATCTTGAAAATTAAACGATGTTACCAAAGTAATTTTATATGACCCCGAACCAAACGCACCCAAACTGTATATAAAGTAAGTCGATATATTTCAATATGAAATTATCTTATATATGATTGAGTCATGAATTTTGTTGAATTTATATTATGGCAATACAACTAAACAAATAGAAAAAAAAACAAAATACTTTTAATTATTTAAAAACTCATACCCATTAAACATTGGTTGACGTTCACCATAGACCATTGTTCATATAAACAAAAATATTTAGCCAACTAACCTCAACGTTGCCTGTAGTTAAGAAAGTTTGTTTTCTTTATTGAGTTTTTGGGTTTAAACTATCTTGAGACCATCTATCACATTTGTGACTTATCTGAAACATTGGGTTTGTAGAATGTTCTCACAGATTAGTTGCTAGAATATTAAGCTTATAAAGTGTTTAAAGGTTCGGAGATTAGTTGAAGTACATGCAAACTATATATATATTACCTCCTTAGAGATTAAACCCACTACCTTTTGTAACTGAGCTGGATGTGACCGATGACAAGACGATATTGGTAGGTGGATTGATGTTCTTGTATATATATCATGTTATATTCTATCAATAATTTGAGAGTAATATCATAACACTAAAGTTTACAAAATTAACAAAACGTAAATCTTTATATCCCTTTTGTATATGACCTTTTCAAGTAGGCTTGAGGAAATAAAAACCTAAGATACATACAACAAATAAAATTTTGCTTATCTGTAGATATATTTTCTTAAAACTTATCATTTATAAGGGGAAAAAAAGAAGACGACAAATTCCCAATTATAAACCATAGGCACCAAACCTGGTAATGGTCCAATCTATAAAAGGGCAAAGGTGAAAGGGGAAAGCAAGTTGTGGTGTAATTATGTAATCAATGAATTAACAAGACGAAGACAAAGATGACAATGACGTGTAGGAAAAAAAGGAGAAGGCAAGTTGAAACATAAAGTGATGATGGGGTGTTGCGCAAACGCGGTTGGTTTAGACTTTAGGAAGAAACTACAAATTCAAGAGAGCCAGAAATTTCTGTTGAAGCGATGACGCGCAATTTTTTTACAACACGGGAGGCTTATAATTGATCACCAACACCCAACACAAATTAAAGATATAGACAGAGAGATAAAAATATAGACTACTTAGAGAGAGAAAATTTTAAAATAATTAAAACAAACTAAAGAATAGTCTTTTATGGAAATGCGTGGAGCCGTAAAGACAATACAAGAAGCAGACGCCCGCAGCAGAAGAAAAAAGAAGAAATTTTATTTTGACTGAATTAACCATCTGCTTTTCTTCTTTCTAGAGGCAAGCAAGTTTGAATTAAGGGTGGTTTTGTTTGTTTTCATGTGTATAATCACGGTGCGTCTTTTTTTTGGTCTGTTTAGATTAAACTTATGATGATTGGCTTTAATGTCATCGACGTAGTTTGTTTAAGTTGCGTTTTTTAAGTCCTGGGGGATGTACGTTGCTATCTATTTGGTTCTTTCCGGAATTGGAATAAAGGAAGAAATTTTGTTTCTGGGTTCAATAGTAAATATATATATTCTGGGTTTTGGCTTTTGATATTGGATAAATGAAGAACAAAACCGAGGACAAATACTTGTATTCAGATTAAGCTCAGTTTGTGCTTATGTTTATATGATCCCAGGTGATGAAAATTTTATCTTTTGTATAATCAGAGTTGCCATAATTTTTTTTTTCTGTAAACCAATATTAAGAAATCAAATGCATCCTTGTACATTTATAGCTAAAATAATTGATGAGTTTTTGTGTTCTATTGTGGTTTGTGGATATCTTGAAGAAGAGAAGTTGTAGACCATTGAATCTGTGCTTCTGTCTGCAGTTTTCTTTGTACTTCTTGATTGGGTTGAGGCATTGGCTTTTATTTGCTAAGGTTGCTGTGATTCTGGGTTGTTGGTGATTACATTGGTGTTGAATTATTTGTTTTTTGAAGTTATTTATAAGAATCTTTAGTTCTCATAAAATAACAACCTGTAATTCTATTGATGATCTACAAATAATATGTAATGCGGTCCTTTGGACAATCTGAGTATGATCATATTTCTATGTCAGTTACTTTTTGTGAAGAAGATTACTTAAGCTCAGTTACGGAGATTATGAATTGTGTGCTTAATGGGTTTTAACATGGAAAACAGACTCAAGTTTGTAGATGTATATTTTATGTTCTGTTTATATTTTTTTATGGTAACAAAATCATTTAGTTTGGTTCTTGTGACTATATTTCCAGGATAATTCATTGGTTCCCATGAACCACCCTTGTCCCTTTACTGGCTGGTTCAGAGCTGAGAGAACAACGAATGATGTTATAATATTCTGTTGGGCATCTAGATTTGGCTTTCTTTTGCATAATCTGAAGAAGGATCTGTAGTTGAGATGGCATTGAATTTGGTAGATAGATTGTAGAAGCCTCTGCCATAGATTTAGCTTTTATTTTGGTGAATGTACTCTTTATTTCTTGGGAATTCTAGCCAGTGAACTTAAATTCTCAATAGTACCGTCGATAGCATTGAGAAACTTGAGTTCCATTGGTTCATTGGAGACATCAAAAATGATATTTATTCAGGAAGATGCTTAAGAGTGGTTAAGTAATAGAGCACACGAGATTAGATAATAAGGAAATAAAAGAGGATCCTTTTGAACATTTGAAAAGAAACATACTCAACTTTGGAGATGGGCTTGCCTCAGGTGTCTTCTGGAGGTATTGCTGAGGAAATGGCTGCATCCGTTAGCAATTTTGTGCAAACCCCACGAATTGTTAACGTGGGTAGTTGTGATTTAGTTGGGATGCATGGAGGAAATGTTGGCAATAGAATGCAGATAGATTTTCCGTGCTCTTCTTTTGGAGATTACCCCAGGAAAATCATTTCAGAGCTTCCCAAGGAGTCAAATGTTTTGCATGTGTATAAAGATGGTAGATCAAATATACAAAGTCTGAATAATGGCTCTATGGAACAGAATGGATGGCTCACCAAAAGTGGGCAGAAAACTCAAACGTCCCTTCCCAGGATTGTGGGTTTTGAATCAAAGGCATTGCATTCCCATGCTGCTGCATTTAATAGAAACCAGTCTTCATCTCCTGTGGTGAATATGAATAGTAATGCAGCTGAGGCCACTGGTTCACTGGCCAGGAAGCGGTTACTATCTCCTTTGAGTGAAATGCTTCTCCCTGATCAATTTGATGGTGATGCTCTGGAGATTGGTGGCGGTTCTTATCAGAATGCTTTCCTGGACAAAAACAATAACGATCATTTGCCTATCTCACAGGAGCATAAGAAAGCTCATATTGGCAACTCCAATCATTTCAGTTCTCCGATCTGGTCAACTTCTAGTTTTTCAGAATGGAAGAATTCACCAGATGGTAATTGTGGAGAAAACTTCAACTTTTCCACTGATGGCCCTTTCCTTGGGAACAAGGAGCAGCAAACTCATAATCATTTAATAACTTCATCTGGATGTAATGATTCTGGAGCGACTAAAGGGAAGTCATCAACTGTTGCTATAGCTATACCTAAGAAAAATGTGGTATCACCTCCCCTGTCTCTGTCTCCTCTTGGTCCAAAATTCCCTGAAAGAATAAAATCTCCGGGCGGATGCAGAGATGTAAATAAAGAGTTAGATGACAACTATATAACCTTGAAGGATATGGAACAGTCGCTCGATGGAACTTTCCCTGGCATTTTATCTTCCAAAAAGGCTGAGGATTTTATGATGCCAAGTAAATTGTTTGAAGATTTTAATTATGTGCAGAAAAAGTTAGATCTGTTCACTCCTGAGGTTGTCACTGGCTCAGAATGTCATTGGGGTCAGGATTCAGAACTTACTTCTCAAAGTGTCAAATTGGTAAGAAGTGTCAGTGGACTGGCAGTTAGGAGGTCCTTGGTTGGTTCGTTTGAGGAGTCCTTGTTGTCTGGTCGGTTATTATCTGGAAAAGTTA